TGTGAGGATTTCCAGCCTTGGTTGCTATGAGTTCAAATTGACTTGATGACAGTCAGTAGTCCTACACCCAAGAGCCCTGGTGCTCCTGTAGGATAAGCACTGAACTGATATCAAGGTTGGCAATTCGAGTCCACTAGCTGCTCCATGGGAGCACCTTTACAGAGTTACATCCCCAGGGTGTTACATCATAGGATGGCTATGAGTCAAAATGATCCTCGATGTCAGTGAGTATGGTTTTGGTTTGGAGTCTTAAACCCATTCAACTTCTTGTTGTTAAGTGCCGTTGAGTTGGTTCCAACTCATAGCGACCCTGTATAGGGTTTCCAAGGAGTAGATGATGAGTTTGAACTGCCAACCTTGCAGTTCAAACTGACCTTGAAGTCCAGTGTATTATCCTACAGCGCCACACCAGGACTCCTTAAGTCTTAGGAATCAATGAAGTTTTCGTTTTCCTCAAGCTACTTTCACCTAATCAAAATTTTGGCTACACAGGCTATCTTAAACACAATTTTTCTTCTTCTTTTTTTTTTTTTTTGCTTGGAATTACATCAACTCAATATAGTAGCACTGATTAGTTTTTGTTTATCAAAAAGTCTGGTGGGATTTTGGTTAATAAAATTGGCAAAAACAATCATTTTTAGTAAATGCAATTTCCTTCAAACAAAATATTTCAAAACACCCTATTTGTGCAAAAGGAAGGAGAGTGTATCATAGTAAAATCATCTTTTGATTTTTTTAAATAGTTGAGAATCTCTATTGTACATTTTAATGATATCCTCTAATGCCCAGTTCCAACACAAAATAAACTGAGCACATTTTTATTGACATAGCATGAGGTTAGTGGTGTGGAGAATGCAAAAAATAAAGAATTTTCTAAAAGTAGGATTTTATTCCTGCCCTGCATTAGTTTGTGTTGTCTTCCCAGTTACCAAAAAACACACTGAAAATGAGTGTGTACAAGGTAGCATATCAGGTTGGTCAGGAGCTTGGGGCTTGTAATCAGATAGCTTGGGTTTGAATTTGCTCTGCCGCCTACTAATTAATTCTGTATTGTGATTTGGGGAAATCACTTAGCATCTCTGCCAGGGTATAGTGAGAACGAGTTAAGCTAATGTTTGCAAAGAGCTTTGCTTGCAAATCTAGAAAACAGTAATTTTTCAATGGATGGTAGCCTGCTCTTCCAATGTTTCCACTTCACTCCCTTCAGTTACTGTGACTAGAGTGTTAGCAATGTAGAGTTCTTCCTCTCCATTCCATTATCAGATATTTGTGGGTTCTCCAGAACGTCTCTGGAACTTTGCCTTCCTTACCAATTTCATTCACAATCCTTGAATTTAATATTTCTTGCCAGCGTTACTAATTTGGCTACTAAATGGTGTCTACTTCCCAGTATTTTATTTATTTATACTGCCACCAGTAATTTTCCTAAAACGAAGGTCAAGTCACAAACCTTTACTAGCCACCAGTTCCATTCTCTAGCATGGTGTTCAAGGAAAAGTTCTAAGTAAGTCACAAACTTTTCTGCATCCCTGCTTTTCTTCATCTGTCCACTCAGAGTTGATTCTTTTCCTTTTTAGTCTTATGTCTTCCTCTCTTCTCTAACCTTCAAGATGTGGTTCAAAAGCCAACTCCTTCATAAATACCTTCTTAATTTACCTATTTATTCATTCTCATTCTCAAAGTAGTTTGCTTAGGTCAGGATTGTACCATTTACTTTTTCTCTCTTACATTTGTGGCTATATCTGCCCCTTGACTAAAGTATTACTTTCTTAAAAGTACAGACCATAACTTATTTATATTGCATCAAACATTGTCTGATTTAGTGGGGGGTTTTTTTCCACACAGTTTTTTTCATTTTTCCTTACCAAGTATTTGTTGGATGATTAAATGAAAAAGTAGGTAAATAAATACCAGAAGTCATCAGCCAGGATAATTGTATCTTGGGAGTGAGCTTTCTTGAGAGTAGCTTGGTTCTTCATTGCTCTTGGAATCAATTTTAATTTGTGCATTTACAAATAATATGGCACATTCTTTGTATGGTTACTTAAGATACATACTTATCTATCCTGTGTTTCTTACTCCTGTGTCTGTCTCATTCTTTCTTTTACCTTTGTTATGATTTTTGTGTGTTGTACAGTGCATATGTGATAGTAATACAATGAACATCCATTATATTTCTTAAATAGCATAAATCTGTGACGGTAGTTCCATGCAGAAGGACTAAAGATTGTGGACTCCTGAGTCCCCAATGCCTAGAGTAGTACAAAATAAAAGCACAATAAATATTTGTTCTTATTAAATTATAAGTGTTCAGGAATGAAATACTATTTAAAATAATTTCTATGATTTGTTTTTATTTCCTTTGTATGTTTTCCAGTTGAAAATGACCCACACTTCATCATTTACCTTCCAAAAAGCCAAAAGAATATTTGTTTCAATATTGACTCAGAACCTGGGAAAATCCTCAACCTGGTTTCTGACCCAGAATCAGGTAAAATAAAAAGAAATTACATTTGAATTAGAAAACTTACAATTGTCATATCCCACTGTTCTTTTCTTCCCTTAAATTAAATCCTATATACTACAAGCTCCAATAATTAGTGAGAAATTAATTATAAATCTATCCTTAAGTATTTTGAACTGTTAAGATAAGCGAGTCTCCTTGGATTAGACACAGTAGAGCTTATTGTGATATAACTAAAGTATAATAAAATATATCAGTATAAAATAAGTTACAAGAGAATAATACTATTTAAATTCTGAAGCAAAAAACCAGAATAATTTTCTCAGATTGTCATGTTTTATAAATTTGCATTACAGTTTTCCATAATAGCCCACAAAAGAGAAAAAAAATGTTGTTTTTTTTTCCTGTAGGGATTTTGGTCAATGGTCAGCTCATTGGTGCCAAGAAGCCAAAGAATAATAAACTCAGCACCTATTTTGGAAAACTGGGGTTTTATTTCCAAAATGAAGATGTGAAAATAGAAATCAGCACAGAGACCATTACCCTGCATCACGGCTCTCATGTGTCCGTCTTGTCCTGGGCTGACACAGCACGCATCAGAAATCAGAGGCAAGTATTATCACAGTGCAATTAGGACTTGTTCTCGACACCTGACTACATAAACAAGCCCAGACCTCAGCAACATAAATACAGAACTTAAAATCATCATCTAAAGATGAGGAAGCTGAGGTTCAGAAAAATGTTTCTTACCCACTACCCTGCTCCTTGGATGCAGGGACCATCCTTGTACCTAACATATATATAGTAAATACTGAATAAATAGATATTGGATGAATAAATGAATCCATCAACTGAAAACCATAACAGAGTCTATATCAGAGAGGGTACTCAGAAAAACTGTGATTGTATCTTTTGCTTACTATCTTCGAAATTATCCACTGTGGTTGAGTCAAGTCTGACTCATAGTGACCCTATAGAACTGCTCCAAAGTGTTTCTGAGACTGTAAATCTTTATGGGAGCAGACAGACAGCCTCATCTTTCTCCCAAAGAACAGCTGGTAGGTTTGAACAACTCACCTTTCAATGGTACTTAACCCACGGTGACACCAGGATTCCTTACCTTCCCAGTTAGTATCTGTTCATTGGTTGCTAGTATGCAACATAATTTTAGATCCAGGAGCTCAAACAACAACATGCCACAGCAAAAATATTGTAAAGCTCTAGAAGGAAGCTGGTAGAATTATAATGGAGGACTGAAGAGCCTATTAGAGATGACAAGAATGACTTCCTAAGAGTCAATTCCATTTTGGCTTTCACACTTAGGGTGCTTGTCTCAGTGAAGAAAGAAAAAACTGTGACTATCACCCTGGATAAAGAAATGTCCTTTTCTGTTTTGCTTCATCGTGTTTGGAAGAAGCATCCAATCAATGTAGACTTTTTGGGGATCTACATTCCCCCTACAAACAAGTTTTCACCTAATGCACATGGACTAATAGGTAAGTCTCAACCATACAGCAAGTGTGGGTAACACTCTAGGCTTTGGCAACTTTGGGTGACAGCAGTTAGAATTTGGGGAAATGAGAGGGATGAACTCAGACAAAGCACAGGGAGGACCTAACATAATGATGCAGGAGAGACTCAGGAATGTTATTCTGCTGTTCCAGACAAGATTTTCCCAAAACCAGAACTTTATAATCATTAATGGGAATGTTAAGAGAAACCTAAATACCAAACCAGCTGTTGTCCGGTCATTTCTGACTCGTGGTGACCCCATGTGCTTTACAGTAGAACAGTGTTTCACAGAGCTTTCCATTGCTCTGATTTTTTGGAAGTAGATTGTCAGAGCTTTCTTCTAAGGCCCCTCTGGGTGGATTCGAGCTACCAACATTTCTGTTAGTAGCCAAACACTGAAAGAGAAGAGAAAGATAAATGGGAAAGATAAATTTTAAATCTTAAACAGAAATATGTTCCTAATGGAAGAAAGGTGAACTGGGTTAGGAAATCCGTGAGGCCAAGTAGGACATCAAGGTACCCTAATTTTATAGAAATTGTTCAATTTTTAAGAATAGGACATCATAACCAAACCTTGCTCCTATGACTTGAGCTATGCTTTCAGGTGATAACCTTCACTGCCCGCCCATCAGGAATTTTATTTTACTTGTAGTCTTGGCAGCTGAATCTCATCTATAAACTGACCATGAAGGCAGTAGCATGGACTTGCTCTCAGAAAGGAACCTGTCCTTCACATCACTGCCCCCGTTCCTCTCAATATGGCTTTCTACACTAGAAATTCTGGAAGGAGGACCAGAGTATAGTTTATTCAATGAGGAGCCTGTCTTTTTCTATAACTCTGGATAAAATGTAAATATATGTCTGGACTTTTTTCATTAGGTCAGTTCATGCAAGAACCCAAAATACATATTTTCAATGAGAGACCAGGAAAGAATCCTAAGAAACCAGAAGCAAGCATGGAAGTGAAAGGACAAAAGCTGACTGTCACCAGGTAGGCCTTAATGCATAGTTGTTGTTGTTTAGAGCCGTCGAGTCGGGTTCTGACCCAAAGCGACACTGTGTAGGTTTTCCGAGGGGCAGCTGGTGAACTTGAACCACAGGCCTCGTAATTCAAACGGGCTTTGCAGTCCAGTGCATTAACCAACAGCGCCACACCAGGACTCTTTAATGCATAGAGAAGTAGCAAAAAGGGGTCCTCTTAGGGTTGGACCCAGACAGAGAAAGGTAATGCTTAAAACAGCTTTTCTTACTCATCCTCAATCTGAACAATGCATTAGAAATACACACATACATACTTTTTGCATAAGAACACTGCAGATAGTTGCAAATCATGATTAGATCTAGATCATTTTATGTGCCATAAAATGTCAAGTGAGCACATTACTCAATTGTTCTTCATCTATATACAATTAGCCACCTTATGATGACAAACTGAATCATTGGAAAGATTGGTCAAAGGAGGGAATTATAAAAATGGCTATGTACCATTGTGTTTGAGAATGAATGTATTTTTTATTTAAGAAAAGACCAGAACCGTCCTTTTGAGTATGTATCTGCTTAATGCATTTTTTAGTATCTTTTCTTACACAAGCCATCACCATGATGCTTCTTTTGAAATGAGAACATAGATACTTGAAAACTATTCTGATTATAAAACTCATAAATCTTCCTAATTTTCTCCAGTTCTCTCACATCTAATTCTATATTATTTTTAGCAGTTTTTGCTTTCTTAGGGCTTTCACAAAGCATCCAACTTAACTCTAATGACACAAATTTTAGACTTCCATAAACTTACTTAAATCATATTGTTGTTGTTAAGTGCCATTTAGTTGGTTCCAACCCATAGCGACCTGTGAGTTGTGCATCGTAATATATATTTTAGGGTTCCTTAATGGAAATGTGGACTCCTTGTATGGCGCTGTAGGATCAACATTGAACTTCAAACCACGTCAGCAGCTCAAACTCACCAGCTGCTCCTTGGAAACACTATACAGGGTCGCTATGAGTCAGAATCAACTCAATGGCACTTACCAACAAAAACAAAGGAAATATATCATACACTTCTCAAATCATTGGCTTTGTGATCCTCAAATTGGGGGACATGAATTTGTTCAGAAATAGCATCACACATAAATAAAGCACCATAAAATAAAAGTTAATGCTTCACATAATATTTAAAATATGGGCCCACTACGCTGAAAGTTTTGTTCCTGCCTTCTTTTCACTTCATTTTTTTTTTTCCTGGATAAGTTCACATTGCTATTATCTCTATAGGGTTAATATTGGATTATTCAGGGCAAAATGCTTATTCCATCACCTTCCAACCCTAATCTCCAGACAGATGTGTTAAATGATTTAGAAAACAAGAAGGGATGGGGAGGGGAACACACAGTGATAGACTACCAGGCTAACCATGCCTTGGTCTCTCTCCTAACCTTGCATATCATTTCCCTTGCAGAGGCTTACAGAAAGACTACAGAACAGATATAGTGTTTGGAACTGATGTTCCCTGCTGGTTTGTGCACAACAGTGGAAAAGGTTTCATCGATGGACATTACAAGGATTACCTTGTGCCTCAGCTCTATAGCTATCTCAAAAGGCCTTAAAGGTTTATAAATAAAGTTTTAGACATTATTTGTATAAATACAATCGTTTCCCTGCCACATTGCAGTCATTCTTCAGTCTGAATAATTAAAAAGTGACCATACTTAACAGTTTTATAGAACCTGTGAAAATATTTTTAAGAATTAATATTTTGCAATGAAGCTTTAAGATTTTGCTGCATTTGCCCTGGTGTGACACTGGTCTGTTAACGGCAAGATCAATGGTTCAAACCAGTTGATCTCGTGAACCCTATAGAGGTTGTTAGGAGTCAGAAATGACTGGACAACATACAGCAATAACAAAAAGAAAAAAACAAAGAGTGTTTATCAAGGAGTTGCAAAGGAAAAGTTGGCCTCCAGACAGAGCCTTAGATTTGGCATTTCCTGTGATAATTTCACAGGAAATTGTTGTTTTGGATCAGGTTCTCAGCCTTGCCAATTGAGTACATTTTTATGCTATCAATTAAATGTTAAATGCCATCGGTTTTCGACCCATATCAACTCTGTTTAGGGTTTTTGAGGAGCAACTGCTGAGTTTGAACTGCCAACTTTGGAGTTCAAAATATAGGGAAGTTCAAATATGAGAGAATAATTCTACAAGCATGAGATGAGAACAAGGAAAGTTACTTGATCTTAGTTGTTTTGTAGCTAATACGGCATACCATTTTACTGCATTTTTGCCCTTCGCATATATTGTGTTTTCTAAAAATTGAAGGTTTGTGGCAACCTTGCAACAAGCAAGTCTCAGTGCCATTTTCCAATAGCAGGTGCTCACTTTGTATCTCTGTGTCACATTTTCTAATTATCATAATATTTCAAACTTTTAAACTTTGCTTTTACACACAATGTTATGGAGTCCTGGTCTGACACTTTTTCAGAAAGCTGTCAATAGAATTATCTTATGACCCAGTTATTCTCTCTACTTGGTATATATCCTCAAGAAATAAGAGCCATGGCACAAATGGATAGATGTACACCCAAGTTCACTGCAGCATTATGCACAATAGTAAAGAAATGGAGACAGCCTAGGTGCCCATCAGCAGAATACTTGAGCAAACTTTGGTACATACACACAATGGAATATTATGCAACATTGAAGAATAACAATGAATCTGCAAAATCCACATAACATGGAGCAATCTGGAGGACATTATGCTGAATGAAATTAGTCGGTTGCAAAGACACAAATACTGTATGAAACCACTATCATAAAAAGTCAAGAGAAAGTTTACATTCTATAATAAACTTTATATGATGGCTACCAGGGGAGGGAGGGAAAGGAGGGAAGGGAGAATTATTCACTGGGTAGAGTGTAGACACATGTTAACTTGGGTGGCAGGAAGGCAGTTAAAAGAAAAGGAAGGAAACAAGAAGGAACATTTTTAAATGAAATTATTTCTTTTTTTTATTTTTCCTTTCATGTACTAGAAGGGCAAGAATGTATATTTTCTGATAAAAAAAAAAAAAAAGAGCTTACACATTATTTTCCTTTGAAACATGAAGGACAGGTTACCACAGCAGCATCTTCTGTGTTGTTATGACATGTTTAATACAGCAGAGTCTGACTTCTTGTTCCATTTTAATAATTTTCTCTAATAACACGGCCTCCCTAACAGTGAATTGTGATATTTGGAAATGTTTATGAAGGCCGACTTGAATAATGAAGTAAAAATAAATAAAATATAAATGAAATAAAAAGAATATTTAATTTTGGGGAGACTTTGAGATCCTATATAATTAAATTCAATTTATGAGTTATTAAAAAAACCTTGACATAAAACTTCTACCTTTAGATAAATTAAGGGGCTTCGGAAAGTCTGTGGAAAATGGGATGGTAAGATAATGGAATTTCTCCATGAAAAAAATTGAAGCCCCTTCATATAAGCTTAGTGTGATACCTTATTGTACTCAGTAGTTTTTTAAATAATGATGAAAACCTTGGGGTTTCAATTTATATTCAGGATGCTAGACAACTAAGAGACCTGTATTTAAAAATAAAAAAACAAAGAGTTAAAATAAAATATATATGTGATTCAAATTATCAAAACTTTTATTATAGCTGATGCTTTGAAATTTATCACTTGTAAGAAGCATTAATTGCTCATCTATAACTCTATGTGCTTTTGAAAACATTAATTCTTGCATGTCTTTTCTATACAATTAATTTTGAATTTCCAATGAAGGAACCAAATCAGTAGAAACCTCTGAAAAGGAAGAACTATTTCAATGTCTACCTCGTGATTATTTTCTGAACAGTAATCACCCTGTGACAAAGATAAGCAACTTGACAATGACTTAATTGTGTTTGATACCTTGGAGCACCTTGCAACCCACTGGTAGTTTATCAATATTGAATTTTATAGAGGGTTGAGGTTGTTGTTCTAATTGGTTCCGACTCATAGTGATTCCAGGAAGCACTGGTGGGTTTGAACCATCAACCTTGTGGTTAGCAGCCCGTTGCTTATCCTACAGTGCTACAACAGGATTCCATATACAGGGTTGTTGTTAAGTGCCGTTGAGTCAGTTCCAACTAATAGTAACCCTGTACAGGGTTTCCAAGAGAGTGGCTAGTGAGTTTGAACTGCCAACCTTATGATTCAAACAACCTTGTGGTCTAGTGCTTATCCTACAGCACTACACCAGGACTCCATAGGGTAATGGTATTATTCAAGTTAAAACTATTGACTTTTGTCTTAAATTTTGTTTGTGCTTTTAAATAACAGTGCTTTTAAAATTACAAAAGACCTAGTAATAGCAAAATAGGAATTACCTGCCTGTCTCCATAAATATAAATTTAGTTATCATTTTCCTTTTATTGATATTTTTTCTCACTGTCCAGCTCTACATTGGTGACTTTTGAAATACCCACGAGAGAATGAAAACTCTGGAATGATAAAATAGTTTTGATAAAACTATTCCATTCTACAATTAACATTGCTGGGGTCATGTCAGTAAACCAAATGACAATCAAGAATGATTCGTATTTTAAATCCTGTGATTCCATTTTACTAAAGTAGAAACCTCGGCAATATGGTATCAACTCTTAACTGAGTTCCAAACAAAATCAGGGCAGAACTTTAATTAGTTGTTAAGAGATTACCAGAAGATTTTCTTTGCTGGCTCACTATTGCATTTGATTATCAATTCATTGAACCTTGTCAATCCCTATGCACCAGGCACTGTTCATACTCTGAGTCAGAACTGACTCGATGGCACTTAACAACAACATAGCTAGCACCTGGTGCACTCCTTATATACCAGAGGCACACAGGCAATGTCTGCTCAATGAATTTGATTCAAACATGTCAGCAAACACTGATAGGCAGTTACAAACTGATGCCAGAAGACAAAGACTACATCAGTAAATATTTGTAAGGCAATGGGATTCAAAGATGTACCAATGAAGACAACCAATGCAGGGAATTTGGTTTTCCTGGACAGCAATGCTATTAATTTGATATGATTTTAAGAGAGTTGATGAAAGTAATAGCTTATGATGTTTCAAAAAGAAAAGAAAAAAAAAATCAAGATTTGATTTTGGATGTTTGAAGACATTTTGCTTATCATAATCACTATTGACGGCAAAGAATTTAGGGGAAAAGTGTGTTCCATATCTATCCACAAACATATTTTGTACTTTGGAAAGTTGAAAATTAAATTTAGCTAAAAGTGTGCTATTTTATTTCTGAGATCTTTCATAAAGATGCCAGAGAAGAGAATTAAATAAAGGTGAGGTTAGTAGGAGGTTGTTGTTGTTGTGAAGTGCCATCGAGTTGATTCCAACCCATAGTGACTCTATATAGGGTTGCTGAGGCACATCTGGTGAGCTTGAACCACCGACCTTGCAGTTCAAATGGCTTTGCAGTCTGGTGCATTAACCCACAGCACCACACCAGGACTCCTAGTAGGAGATAGTGATGAATTGCTTTTCCTATAAACATAAACTATTGATCCCAGACTTATAAATCGGAAGGCATATATAATATGGAGTTCTGGTGAGGCACTGTAGAATAAACACTGGACTGCTAGCTGTGAGGTCAGCAGTTCAAACCCACCCCTGAAAACCCTACACAGGTCAATATGAGTTGGAATCAACTCCACAGCAAGAATACATATAGTCTGTCATCTTTTTTATTACATGATTATCAAGGAGAATCGCTCTCTTTATTAAAATCATCATGGCAGACTTGTATCAAAGCAGACAGTAAAACCTTCTTGCTTGCCTTCCTGCACTGATTGCCACTGTTGTCAGTTGCTATGGAGCCAGTTCCAACTCCTGCTGACCCCGTATGTGTTAAGTAGAAAAGCTTCTAAAGTTTTCAAGTCTATGACTTTTCAGAAATACATTGCTTGGACTGTCTTCTGAAGCATGTAGGTGAATTTGAACCACCAGCCATTTTGGCTAATAGTTGAGTGCTTAACGATTTGCACCACCAGACCTCAAAATATTATGGTTTGTCTCCCTGTACTGTAAGCACAATTCACTACCATTTATGAACTACTTACTGAATGTGCTGGGCAGTGTATCTGGCATTTTATATGTATTTCCTGTAGTTCTCACAACAACCCTGCAAGGACACATTATTTTTGATAATTTATACTGTTACAGACTCATGTCAAACCTATGGGGCAGATGTGCTCCTTAGGGTTTCTGAGACAGTAACAGCATTGTTTACCTCCTGGGGGTCTGCAGACCTTGCAGTTAACAGCCCAATGCTTAAACCACAGTGTCACTGTGAAATTCAAAAACATCAATTTTTCTAAGATTACAGTTAGTGAACAGAATAGTCAAAATTCAATCTAAAGTTGGTCCAACACCAAAACCTAGACCCTTTCTATAATAACTATGCTGTCATTTCTAAAACACCTTTATTAACCCAGGAAGAGCTTTCTGTAAAGCCACTGATATCATCCCTCACTTTCTTATATTGTCTCTTATAGTTGCTTCCACTTACCAGCATGTACACTCTCATCCTCTGATAAGATAATTTATATTTTCCTTA